TAAATATCCGTTTTGTAGGCTTACTTGTGTGCAAATCGGGCGTCGTCAGAGACAGAAATGGCCACAGTTTCTTCTTCATATATCATGTTGATACTTTTCGTGATGCCACAGAAGCCGTTCAAGCAGCGTTCAGCTTTCTTTTGTTTTTGGTTCACTGTACCTCGCATACTCTTTCTTTGTCCTTTCTCCACACAGGACCACGTAGAATACTCTTCACACTTCCAACGACTCCGCTTCATCAAACGAAATAAAACCTGCAGCAACGCTTGTGCTTTCTTACGATAAAAAGGAGCAGCAATCTTTTCGAATGAGAAAAATGCAAAAAAATCTGACGTGACACGAATGTTGACTCAGGTTACGCTACGCATTTCGATCTACGCAGTCCCGTGGAATTAATCCGTTCTGGGCTGCCCATACCTCTCTGAGGCATTCCCAGTATAATGGTATCTACAGCATCACAGTCTAGCATTTCGACCAGAGGAGCCTGGTTCTCGCTCAAAACGCGAGCATAGTAGCGTTCTTGTATTGAGAATTTTGAGTAGCTATACTATAGGCAATTGGATGTAGCCTAGATTTGACTGTGATCTAGTATGATCTAGTAATTCTTTATTAAATAGGATAAGGCAGATGTAGAGCGGCCATGGAAGCTTCTTGAAGCTTCCATCCGTCCGAGCTGCAGGGGCGGCACTTTGTGTTTCGTGCGCCCTCCCCCAAGCTTCGCTCCTACATAGGACTCGTCAAGATTCTCCAGCGATGTCAGGAAGCCGCATTGTGGGACCATTAACCCAATAAAGGCCGGATTCTGTATTCGACAGAATAATCGTTATTGCAGGTATTCCACTCATTTATCAAAGCGATGGACGACTGGGTAGATCCGAAGGCGTTCCGGAAGCTGTGGAACAAGCTGATCAAGAGCAGGTGGAAGGCTAGGCAACCTACGGTTCTCGAAGTGGACTACACGTTCGTCAAGCCTGGTGTGGTCGGCAAACTGCGCAAATATCAACGCAATGCAGACAATTTCATCGGTAAGTCTTGCAAAATGAAGCTGCAAAGCTCGTATACTAACTGCGCATACGCTGTAGGTCCCAAGGAGTTGTGGAAGTACGCTACACGTGAGGGATTAGTTACAGACGCTCTGCAACATGACGCGGCCCCGCCTCCAAAGAAGCCGCCGATGGGAAAGCTTGCTGCATACGCAGCAGCAAAACAACGTGCCAAAAACCTTCAACCGATGCCTGGCGTCGTGCGGACTGCTAATGCAGAGGCTGCTACAGAACAAGGGGCTACGGTGACCAGTACTACGGCGGCTGCTACCGAACAAGGAGCTGCGGTCACCAGCCGTATCACGACCGCTACAGAAC